CCCAGACGGTGTCTCCGGCCTGCCCTCGGGCACCGCTCCCGGCAGTGCCCGGAGGGTCCCCTCGAAGCACGTGTTGCCCCGAGCCCTGGGGGAACCCGCCGCTCTGAAACCTGTTTGTTTCAAGTTCCTGGGGAAGAGTGGCACAAAAAGCTCTTGCCTTTCCGAAAACAAGAGTGTGCGTGTGTTGGGAGGGGCGGCGTAAGGTTTTAGTCCAAGTGACTGACTGCTGTCCTCCCCTGGCGTGCGGCTCACCAGTCAGCTCCCATTCATTGGTGGCGTGGCCATGGTGGGGTCCTGGGCATGGTCTTGGCCTTCTCCCCGTCCCTGCCATCGTGGGGGGGGTACCCTCTTGGTCAGGAGACTAGTCCTCCCAAAGAGCAGTGTTCCCCTTGAGAGGTACTGGATTTTCCCATGTCTTTGAGGTGAATGGGGCTCAAGGGCAGTTACCTCAAAGGCGGCACGTGTGAGCTAATCCAAACCAAACCATGTTGTTCGTTGTCATGCCCTTTCTTCCTGAGTTGGCATCTGAGTACCCGCTGCTTTCTGGCCAAAGAAATCTACGTCTGTGACTGACTTAACGCTCTGTATTTGAAACATTTAATCAGATTTTTTTCCTCAGTTTCAAGGTTTGAAACACAAGAAGGAGGTTGTGGTAGTCAAAGACCTTATACTTCATCTTAAGAAGTGACCTTGCGTATCAAGTCAGAGTAGCGCATGCAGAGAGACCTGCAGGAAGCCTACTGACAGAGCTGTAATTTGTGTTCTGGGTCTCTAATAAATTAATTTTAACAAATTCTTTGTATATCATTGTAAATTTGATTGTGGGACATTTGCTGTCTGAGGATTCCAGTTGAATGACCTGCTTGAACTGTGGGGCTGCCACTAGTGTTCTGAGTCAGTATAAAAGTATTTTGAAGAAACTACGTTTTCATCCCACTTTCAAGGTGCCTGTTGTTCTATCCATTTCTTTTCAGTATAAAAACACTTTCTAGCGTAGTAGGGCACCTAGGCAGACTACTTCAAACAGTTGAAGGGGCATATGTGCCCAAATACAGACTTTTTTAGGCTGAACAGAGTTGTTAGATGGATAATTTGCAGCATTTAGCTATTGCTTACTGAATAGAAGTTCAGGTTACTCATCTTAGCATGTGTGCCTTAATAATTTTTACAATTATTTTCATGTTGTTTTGTTTACAGTACTTAATTTTAAAAGGCAAATGGAAAGCTTGGAGGTTTTTTTTGATTCCTAGCTACATGATGCTTTTGGAAAATGGAGCGTTTCTAGCAGACTTCTTAGAATTTCTGACAGTGTTATCACATACTAAATATTTTTATAATGGAGAGCCATTTCATGGACAAATAAGCCAGAACTGAAATTTGCTCTTTTATACTTTTAAAGATTTTACAAATAAATATTGCAGGTTTTTTGAATGCTGAAGTTGTAACAGAAATGAGGCACACTAGGTACAGGCAGTGCTTTCTAACTGGAATTGTTCATTTAATAAATAAAAACTCAGTACAGTGTGTCATGGTTAATTTCATGTTTTGCAGGTGGTTATGGTGCAACTGCATTAAATATGAAGCGGGATCCCCTGAAACTCAAAGGCACGGGCTCTGAATTTCCCCTTACACTTGGTCGAGATGTCTCTGGTGTTGTTATGGAATGTGGACTGAATGTGTCTTATTTCAAACCTGGAGATGAGGTGATACCACCAATCTCATTTTTTTCTAAAATGTATGGTTAAATTACACTATGAGATGTTCAGCTTTCATTTTCCTCTTAAGAAAATTATTTTTTAAAATGTCGTTGCACTCTGAATGAGGACTATGTGGCAGTAAATTCCTAGAATGCTTTCTTCTCTATCCTTTTTCTTTGAAAAACATGGTCTTTCCCAGACTTGCCTCTGCAAGTTAATTCCCATTCTGTTTTTTAATTTTTGGTCCGTTTCAGTGGTGACAAGAGAGGATTTTATTTATTTATGAGTGCACACTCAAGATGCTGCATCATTTTTGACTGAAGATAGAATTCTATCAGTAAGGGATTAGTAGTTTGTTGTTGTTTTTTTTTTTTTCTCTTGAGTAATTCACTTAGGATAGGAACTCTGCATAACCCAAGAATTGCTTTGTGAGTTCCCACGTAAATACTGGTATTGTTTGCTTTCACCTTCACCAGCTGCTTTCACCTTTCACCAGTTTTAGTATAGCAATTTCTGATTCCTCCCCACCCCATGCCCTACAATCTGGGCTTTCCTGGCATGAAAGTAGTTTGTTTTTTTTGTAAAATTATGTCTTATCCACAGTATAGAATCATAGAATGGTTAGGGTTGGAAGGGACCTCAAAGGTTATCTAGTTCCAACCCCCTGCCATGAGCAGGGACACCCAATGTTACAATTTATTTACGTAGCTCTGCGCTCCTTCCTTTAGTCATTCTTGCGATGGTTTTTGTGTAAAGAGTAAGGTAAACTGGTTTCTGACAAGCAATAGTGAAGACATTCTGTGAATTAGAAAAAAGATTTCTTTAATGAAGAAAACTTTTCTGTGTATCTGCAATCAAAGTCACAAAAAATTGATAGCTGTTTTCTGTTTGGTTTTAGGTGTGGGCAGCAATTCCTCCATGGAAACAGGGCACTCTGTCAGAGTTTGTGGTAGCTAGTGGAAACGAGGTAAACCTTCAAAAATGTGGCTAACAGGCAAACTGCCAAAATCATGGAGAGTGGCACTTTTTTTTTTTATTCCTTCGGTGTCGAGGTAACTGTCTATTTTTTGGTGCTTGGATTGATTTAGTCTCCAGCTAGTTCCGATGATAGCTGAAAATGTGGAATACACAATCTGCAATTCAGTAAAGCTTATTTAAATATTTCAGCGTCAGATAGGGTCTGCTGTGTGACTTAGATACGATTGATTTTATTTCAGGTGTCTTTTAAGCCAAAGTGTCTCAGTCACACAGAAGCTGCCTCCTTACCATATGTAGGTCTCACAGCCTGGTCTGCAGTCAACCAAGTTGGAGGACTGAACCAAAGTAATTGTCGTGGGAAAAGGTAAGTAACTAGTTCTGATGCTAAAAATTAGTGTTTCGTTTTTATACTGATTAGCTGCTTCTAAGATATGTCGGAAAGCCATGAAGACTGTTATACCATGACATTCACAAAGACCAGCTGGCCTGAAGATGCTAGGTTCAATCTGCACAGCTGCTTAGAGAGAGGCTTCCTTAGAGGGAGACTTAGAAGAGGACCCTAACTGAAGTGTACCTAGTTAGTCACTTGCTGCTCAATTCCTCTATGTAGTGACTATATAGAGGTTGTCCAAAGTGTATCTAATGTATAGGACTATATAGAGAATTTAAGGATGATATCTCTAGGAATTCATAGGGACTTTGCCTTTCTGCCTGCTAGGACAGCTATCCGAATATAATATCCTCTCTCTATTTTGGCAACTCACAAAAAGCCTGCTCAACCACAGAGGTGCGGTTCACACAGTTCCTGCATGTGTGGGCCATTTGGAACAGACTGGTTTTCCAGCTTTTTAGAGAAAAAATGAGCAGGTGACTGAGTCTCGTTTGACCTGTAGGCCAGAACTTTGATGAGGTCAGAAACGCAGAAGAGGAGAACATGCGAGGTGAGCAGCCACATCAAGTAGAAAAATTGGCTTTGTTTATCAGCCTGTTAATCTGACAATGGTAGACGGAGGACAGAAGAGGGAAAATGCATTGAAAGATTGGAACAGATACCATTTTCCTCCCGATAATTGAAATTTGCAGTTATTTTGGCCTTTGGATGTTTGTGTAAATAGACAGCAAAATGTTGAGAATGGAAAGAAGGGCAAAAGTGAAAATACTGGGATTGAAAAATAGTCATTAAAATTACTATGCTGCACCAAAAATTTAGGTCATAAAGTAAATATTGGGCAGTAGGAGACTGGGTGCCTGACCTCCTCTTACATTGGATGTTACTGTTGTAATGCAGCGCATTGGAAAGGACACTAGATTTATTGATATTCTTCACCCACCTCTTTAGAAGATAATTGAGTGAGTTGTTTCTATGTCACGGTAAATTTCATCATTAAAATATCAAGTAGTTCTTTGTTCTAAGGATAAACAGCGTTTTGAGAAAATGAAATTGCAAAATTTATAGCAATTTCAAAGGAACTTAATTGAAATTAACTTCCAGCTAGTGATAAAATTCTAGATATGTTGCCTGCCTTTTGATTTGTCACTATTTAGACATTTTTATTATCTTAACTTTCACACGTAAATAGAAGTAACTTAAAGATATGTTGATAGGCTAGCCTCGTTTAAAGTATCTTTCCAATCTTCAGGTAAATGTTTGGATTGTTAAAAGTGAAATTTAAACTGCATTTATATCGTGTCTTTACATTTAACGTTTGCTTTTATGTTCTCAATAAATATTTAATTATTCTGTCAGCAAAACATTTTAATGTACTTATAAAATTATGACGTTTCCCATCTACAAGTTTTGAGTTGTAAAACCAGCAGAGAATTACTTACGTGATGGTAGCTTTTTTTCCCCTGAAAAATATCTTGTAGGAAAATGCATAAAATGCATTGAAAGGGCTGTGCGAAAGTATATTCCATGAACTTTACATTACTCTCTCAAGGCAGTAATTTCAAAAGACAAGAATTTACATTATGTTTTTTAATTTTTGAAATAACTTGATATGTTTGGAAAGAAGTTACCTACATATGTGATTTTATGTTGGTTTTTTGTCTCCTGTAGGTGTATGTAAATAGCTATGTAGAAGGGTGTGTATACACACGAGAGTGTGTCTTATTTTGAAAGAGCAGCTGTATTCCTTGATGAAAGCTACTTCACTGATACTTTATTGCAGTGTTAAGACATCTTAGAAACAGCAAGATTTTTCTGTTGGTGTGTATTGTTTTCTTTGCCTCTTTAAGGTGGAAGGGTGGGCTAACCAGTCAAACATCTGACTGTATGTTGATCTGACAGCAGTATCTGCTGCATCTGCACACACTTTCACAAATTTTGTTTTTAACAAGTTACCTGAATCGTGCTCAAATTGTTCATGATGTTTCCTGCTTTGCTATAACTACAGTCATTTCTCTGTAACTTTTGTCCTACACCACTGTAATTTATGTCAGTATTCTTGCACAAGCCAAAAGCGACTGCCCTTTTTATCCAAAATGTTCAGAATGACTCTGTTGTTTTCAAGTTCTCTGGATAATACATGGAGAGCTTCATATATGTGCCAGTGTCCTGTTTCAAGGACAAAGGGCAAGTGTAGAGTCTTGCATCTGGGTAAGAACAACCCCATGTACCAGTACAAGTTGGGGACTGAACTGTTGAGGAGCAGCACAGAGGAAAGGGACCTGGGGGTCCTGGTGGACAGCAGGATGACCATGAGCCAGCAATGTGCCCTTGTGGCCAAGAAGGCCAATGGCATCCTGGGGTGTATTAGAAGGGGTGTGGTTAGTAGGTCGAGAGAGGTTCTCCTCCCCCTCTACTCTGCCCTGGTGAGGCCGCATCTGGAATATTGTGTCCAGTTCTGGGCCCCTCAGTTCAAGAAGGACAAGGAACTGCTTGAGAACTTGGCAGCGCAGGGCCACAAAGATGATAAGGGAGTGGGGCATCTCCCTTAGGAGGAAAGGCTGAGGGAACTGGGTCTCTTTAGCTTGGAGAAGAGGAGATGAGGGGGGACCTCATTAATGTTTATAAATATGTAAAGGGTGCCTGTCATGGGGATGGAGCCAGGCTCTTCTCAGTGGCATCCAATGATAGGACAAGGGGAAATGGATTTAAGCTGGAACATAGGAGGTTCCGCTTAAACATGAGGAAGAAGTTCTTCCCAGTGAGGGTAACAGAACACTGGAACAGGCTTCCCAGAGAGGTTGTGGAGTCTCCTTCCTTCTCTGGAGATGTTCAAAACCCACCTGGACGCGTTCTTGTGTGATCTGATCTAGGTGGTCCTGCTCCGGCAGGTGGATTGGACTAGATGATCCTTTGAGGTCCCTTCCAATCCCTAACATTCTGTGATTCAGTAGAAAGGGGATATGCTTGTTCAGCAATAGCTGTTAAATTTATCTTGCTTGCTGTATTCACAAAAAGCGTGATAAAACCAAACCTGACAATTTGAGAAGTTCTTGGAAACGTTTACGTTAATATCAAGTAAAGGTCTTTTATGTAAATACAGAGTCAATATTTTATACATTTAAGTATGCTGGGGAGAGACACTGGATTCTGTTACCATAAGCTCTTAAATGTACACTCCTGGTTTATATTGTTACAATGAAAATTTGAATGATGTAATGCCCCAAGAATTTTTTTTTTTCAAAGTCTAAATGTTATTTCATCATTTTATCTGTTGAGAAGTACAAAGTGAGTGTAGGTTGTAAAACTTCTTGATAGGGTAAATGTTTCTTGATACAGGAATAAATCTCTTAGGAACATTTTGTTGGAATAATCAAATGGAATTTAATTTTTTTATATATATATAAATAGATTTATTTATTTAATAATTTATTTTTTTAATTATTTGGCATGTAGCTGAGTCACTGAAAATTGTTAGTTTATAATCTGGAGAAGGTGCTAGTCCTCCACTCCCCACCCCCTGTGTCTTTTGGGGACACACACAGCTGCAACGAGTCCTCGCTCTCTGATGCTAGTTTCTGACCACACTATAGTTCCCTACAGGGAGAAGGGCTAAACTCTCAAATCCCATGGTATGCTCATCTGGAGAGATCTGCTGACTCTCTGATCATCTGAACCACTAGAGCCTCAAAGGGGATTGGTGAATGCTGGCTTGAATTAACGTGCCTCTGTCAGAAGGGAACAAAGCCTGGGGTATGAACGTTTGTTTTGTTCTTTTGAGAGAATCAGTTCTCTTGGATCTCTGTTCAGGTCAAATAATTCGTTAGTTTATTCCCTTGTGCACATGCTTATATGTTAGTTTAGTCCTGAGCTCACCTTTGCAGTGAAACAGGTAGTTTCTCTGATATGTTTTCTCCTGACTGTTTTCCTGAGGCAACACAAAAAAACTGTGCCTGCTTTGGTGCTTTCCGCCATCTGTGGTCCTTCAGTACCGTCCTAACAGGTCCTGCACCTTCGAACGCCTCCCTGCTTCCTTGTCTTGTGCCAAACAACGTGTCTTGCTGTCCTCAGTGCTGTAAAAATCCTGGTCTGTTGAGCTGTGGCACATGGATCTCCTAGTTTATCTCTGAAGCGAAGAGCTTTCTTAAAAGTCACAATGTATGGAGAGAATTTTAATAATTAGAAGGTTTGGGAGAAAATATCCCATGTAGCGCAGGAACAAACCAAATCTGAAAGCATTTCTGCCTGAAGAATCTTAAAGGCTTTTATTGAAGTGGAAAATTAAAACAAGTCCTAGCCAAACAGCTCCCGAAAACTGAAAATGCTTACCTAAATCCTTGAGCAAAATGTACATTTTAAAACAGCAGCTTTCTCCAGAATTTGTAGTGGAAGAAGTGCCCTTGAAGCAAGGAGTAAAATCAGAAGGGCAGTCTGACAAAGTTTTTTTGAAAAGATTTAATTGTGACTGTCCTTTGTAAGGATAAAGATGGACTTAACCCAGTATCTTGAGTGTGATTTTCAAGTATAATAAAATCTAAATATGAATGTTGCTTCAGGCATCTGTCGTTAGAAGCAAGGTTCTGAGGATAATAAGTACTTCTTGGCAGATTTAAAAGCTGCAGGCGTGGTTTCAAATTCTTAATCTGAATTTTGCAGCTTGGATCAGTGAAATAGGAGGGAACAGAATCTGATCAGTTACAAAAGAGGAAGCAATTTAAAACGGATACTGTGACCAAAGCCAAGTCTCTTAGGTTACTTCAAAGAATTTTTGTAAACTGAGACTCTGGATTGTATAGTACAATTTTGCACTGTAAAAAGCAATATCCTTCAACATCCAGCACAGTGAGATTTAAAACAGGAACATCACTAGCTTCTGAAGATACTGAAATTTTTCTGGCAAACAGAGGTTCTGAGAAACATGATGTTCCCCAGTCCTATGCCAAGATTCCATCTTAGATCTTCCTTTTGTCCTAGAATTAGCAAATAGGTCCAAAGTCCAAGCACTGTTTGTAGCTCCAGCAGAAAGGCTTCCTTACTAATAATTCCCTCTCTGAAGTTTAGTTACTAAATAAAATATCCGGATGAAATTTTTGAACAGTGATTAGGTTGCTAGCAGTAAGGTTCTCACACAACTAAACTCGTATTCATTTTTATGAAATTTAGGGTAGTGTGTTCAATTAAAATGAACTCTCACTTGCTAATAATTTGGTAATACACTTCTTGATTTTCTTGCTTTTGTGCCAATTTCCATAACTTGGCATTTACAGGGTCTTCTTGAGATGTACCGAACTAGAAAATCTACTGCCTTTTTGCTAAAGAAAAAGGCAGATGTCTTAATGTAATAGAACTTAAACTTTTTTATGGTAAGGCAACTTCATTGTATTTTTGTCTTTCTTTTAGATAAATATTATGCAATATGGGAAAATTATGTTCCATATATTCTGACATTCCCAGTCTCCCTAGAGACTGTGATACAAAATCTCTTTTTCTCTTAGATAATATTAATTTGTGTAAAATGTTGGTGAATCAGATTTTTTTCTTCAGGAGATATGACAGTAGAAGGGAGATGGAAGGACTCTTAACTGATTTTGTCCCAAAGTAAACAATTTTGTTTGAGAAGGTGAAGACAGGGACAGGGGTTTTGGGTGATAAATGTTACTGCCTGACAGCTCCACTGCCTGGATTTAGTGGAAAGCACGTATCATAGAATCATCTGGTTGGAAGAGACCCTCAAGATCATCGAGTCCAACGATTCACCCTGCATGTCAGGATCCCTAAACCATGTTCCTCAACACCAAATCCACATGGTTTTTAAACACCTCCAAGGATGGGGACTCTACCACCTCCCTGGGCAGCCTGTTCCAATACTTCACAACCCTCTCTGTAAAGAAATTCTTCCTGATATCTAACCTAAATTTCCCCTGGTGTAACTTGAGGCCATTCCCTCTCGTCCTGTCATTCATAACATGGGAGAAGAGACCAACCCCCATCTCCCTACAGCTTCCTGTCAGGTAATTGTAGAGAGTGATATGAGGAAGTCTCTTTGGCTGTGTTGAGATAACGCTCTTGGCACAGGAAACATGATCGGCAATGTTAAGTCACATTGGTGGCTGTAATCTGAAGAGTTAACCTTTAAGTAACACTGAATGACAAATACGATCTTTTGCTTAAAATACTTTTGTGTCAGAGATGTATAAGAAGCATGAGAATAAGTAGTTACTATAGAGTTTAATTAAAGAACTAATATATTTTAATTTTCTCTTACAGAGTATTAATATTAGGAGCTTCAGGAGGAGTTGGTACGTTTGCTGTACAGGTAATATAAACCAGCATGCCCAGGATGCATCTTCAAACTATTCAATGTGGAAAAAAAAAAATATTGGAAGGGAATTGAGGGAAGGAATAGTGAAATAGCAAGCTACTGATCAATCTGATCTATATTTCCAAAAGTGAAATATTTTCAGATTTATTGCTTTCCATTTGTTATGTTCAACTAGTTTAAAGTAGAAAGCAGGGACTTTCAAAGAAAGGAGTTGTGAGTGTAGGTAGTGAAAGATTACATTTCACAGTTCGGGTGCAGGGAATCTCTAATTGGCGTAACTTGAAATATGTAGCCTGTTTTGATTATCTTTCAGTCAGCTCTGCTCCAGAAATATGAAAAGAATTGGGTGTATGAGTAGAAAAACTGATGGAGAATGTATCATCTACTATAATAACTGTTGTAGGTGGTCAAATGATAGGAGAGGCACCAGGCTTTTGTGTGCAGTGTATGTAAAGCACAGCGGCTTAGATTAGCTTTTCCTCACTGTCTTTGCCCTGCTGCCTTTATGTCTCTCTTCATTCCAGGAGCTCTTTGGAAAGTCACCATGCTCTTTTATTGATCCATTAATTGTAAAACATCCTCTTTTCATGTTCTCATTTAATTTGGGCATTTTGATTCTAATTGATGTCATCTCATGCTGGAACATCTTTCTCTTGAGAATGTGAAAAAAATATAGAAGTTGGGTGATTGCATCTCTGTGTTCCATGTTACTAGATCATAAACATAGTGGTTTTGGAGAGGCTTACAGGATAATTTTTAGTGGTTTGCTATTTGCCTGATCCATGATAAAGCAGGTGGCTAAATTAGACCAGTACAAAAGGCTGACCAGCCACTGACTAGTTGTGATTTCTACCTGATTAATCCTGAGTAAACTACATTAATTAATCTGGAATAAATGTAAAAAAGATTACTGTGAATGAAAAATGAGATTACCAAAGAGATAAATAACTAGCAAAAATCCCTTATAACCAGATGTCCTCCCTGTGGTAAATCAGAGATGACTTCCTTCTTTTTCTCGTTATTAATGTTTAAGCTATTTACAGTGAGATAGTTATATGAAATACTCAATGAGCAGGGAGGAATATAAAATATTCAATTATTTTAAAATATTTAATGGTTGATCTGGTGACAGTTTTGTGGATTGGTAACTTGGACAATACCTTTTGGTATACATTTAGGTGGCAGATTCAGATGGCAAACTGAGTATTTTATTTGAAGCCTTATTTATCCTGAGACCTGATATCTGTAAGTGGCAGTAAAAAACCACCCTCCTTCCTCCATATCAACTCCTCCCTCCCCAAAACCTCCTTAAATATTGATAAATTCTAACCATTATTTGTGTGTGGGATGTGTGACAAGTTATCCTGTGTTGGAACACAGTCTCCCCACTCACTACTAAAGGTGCTCATTTATTATATAAATATAATGAGACTTTGGCTTTTTAAGTTGTTCTCAATGTTTCACTAAACTTTAAAATGAACTTTTTGTTTTATGCTTGTTTTTAGCTGTTGAAGGCCTGGGGTGCTCACGTGACAGCAGTTTGTTCTCATGATGCCAGCACTCTGATGAAAAAGCTTGGAGCAGATGATGTGATTGATTACAAATCTGGAAATCTGGAAGAGCAACTTAAAACATTACCCTTGTACGTGTTTGTGTTACTTAATACTGAGATGAAGGAGTTGGCAGTCAGACCTGCCTTTTGATTGCTTGACTCCGGATTATCAGAACTCTCCCTTCCCCTCCACCTTGCCCCCCTCCCCATTTCTAAAGCATTACTTTGTAAAGCAAATTCATTCCAGCCCTTTTTGAATGCAATTTGCCAAGTGGGTATCCCAAGCACAGATTTCATTGTAAGACTAAGCCAGTTAATTGGGCTTGTGGAGGCAAGCTTACTTTCACATGCTTCTCTTCAATGACTGTGATTTGAACAGTTTTGTCAGCTTCCATCCAAGGATCTTGGAGCATTTACAAAGTGTGAATAAATTAAAATAACACTCAGAAATCCTGTGTGAGGTTAATAAGTAGTAAAATGGGTCTTCTAGAGGGAAGAACTATGTCATGAAGCAGTTAAGTGACTTGCCTGAAGGCCTTTAGCTGCTGTGCGATTCAACTGGGAGTGATTTTTCTCTTCTGTAATGTTGGGTATGGCTGCCTCTGATAAACAATCACAGTTATCTTGTCCCAGCAGTTATTTTTAAACTATCTTGGAGGTTTTCTCTAGAACTGAAGTCTTTCTTGCTTTTGTAATCTTTCCATCTGTTTGAACTAGACTACTGTGACTTGTATTTGAATATGGTGTTTACACTGCCCTTTTTAGCTAGATTGAGTTAACTTTCTGGGAGGGGAAATAGAAGCTGTTCGATCTATGAAAGAATCTTGCGATAACTGTGCTAAGAAGGCATGCGCCCTTCAACTGTGGTGTGATTGTCAGTGGGCCTGAGGCCAGCTGAGGGTACTGGCACTGTCTGAATGGGTGGGACATGCAACAACTAACTTAGCACTTTGTAAGCCGGACTAAATCTGCCTTTGTGCGATGCAACGTCTTAAATACCCATCCTAGAAAGTGACCCTTTTTAGGAAATACCAACAGCACTGTCCTAGGGGACAGTTTTATGGTATAGCTAGGCTGATCAGTGAGGTATACTGAGAGGGATGTTCCTACTTCCCTCCCCTTTTCAGTTGTAGGGACTCTTCAGGGTCCACAGTAAGCTAGTTTTTCCTGGAGCATTAGTTTTCATGATTTTAGTTTCTCTTGTTGGCAGCTAACTGTTAGGTTGACTGAACTTAAGCATGAAATCATATCCTCGGAAGAAAGGCAGGAAAGCTGTCTTTCCAGAGATAAGAACTTTTCTATTTAATTTGCGTGAAATATTTTCGCTCTTATTTATAGGTTATTTAGATTAGATGCGTGTGTATATACATATATATTGCAATCTGGGGATTGCTGGAAGTTTAGAGATGAAAATGAGAATGAGCTGTGCATCTAACAGAATAGGTGCATAGCTCCCTGTTGCCCTATTCAGCCTTCACAGGCTCTCATGCTGGCATAATGAGAAAGTATGCTGAAACTGTGGCTTATTGCCAGAGGCTGTGTATTCCCATTCCATGGAGGTAAGGCTTTAGACCCTTTGCATTGTTAGGTTCTACAAAGAATAGGTAGATGCGAAGAAAAGAGCTGTCAGTAGAGGTAAAATGGCCCCAGAACAAATAAGGAGGTCAAAAAAGACTGCTAGAAGTGAAACTGAGAATTGGGTCACAGAAAAGATGTGAGGAGATAGGGGTTAGTAGAGTAATTTGTTTATGTAACTTTGGCCACTGGAGCTGATTTCATGTGAGTACAGCATGTACAGGAGATGTTCCTAGCCAGGGTGTGAGTCCAGACGAGTTCTTATCTGCACATACAGTATTGTTCAATGCTAGGACCAGACCTCAAGACTATTCTCCTTGTCTCAGGAGGAGGACCGACGAGAGAGAGCTCTAGAAGGCTTTAAGCAAGTAGAGAATGTAGTTGTGCATCTAAGAGTCTGCTTTTTGGAGTTTTAAGTGCAGTTTAAGTTATGTAAATAGTCTGCGTTTGCTGTGCAGTGAATGAGCAATAACCTGTAAATTTAACTTCCATTGTACAGTAAAGCTGGGATTTAGCTGAAGACTTGGGACTTTCTTGCCACTATCTTGCAGCTAGATTATTTATTGCATTGCAGTGACACATAAAAATGTAAACTGTAGCCAATTTCTGATATGAATTAGCTTAATTATGATGGAATTATTTTTCCCATATCATGATTTTAAACCTGTTTGTTACGTGTCTGCAGATTTGATTTCATCCTGGATAATGTTGGTGGATCCACTGAGAAGTGGGCACTAGATCTCCTGAAGAAATGGTCAGGAGCAACGTATGTTACCTTAGTGACACCTTTCCTGATCAATATGGACAAACTTGGCGTGGCTGATGGCATGTTACAAACAGGAGTCACTGTTGGTTCCAAAACTGTAAAGGTATTTGACAAAATCCTATATACTTTAATATTATGTAGTACTCTAGTGGCTTCCTTTGTGGCTTGGATGCTAGTCCAAGGTGGCTCATCTGGAGGCATCTGTTATATTTTCCTCATATATCACTGATTACACTTCAGATGCATTTTTATTCTTTCCTTCTTTCTTGCACTTAAAAAATATGTGTAGGCGTGGTGTTGGTTGGTGTATGTGGCAGTTTGAGGGTGCTTTGAAGTTTTGATTCCTTATTGTGCTTTTCAGTGTGGCCTTTTCCATATGACCTCCCTAATGAGCCCTGCTGACAGCTAGTGTTTCATGGTAAACAGAGCAAATCCCTGCCTCATTGAAGTGAGGGTAATTTTGCTGCTTGCTTTAGGCTGGTCAGGCTTTCTCTCAAAACGTTGTTCCATGACTGATTCTCTTCATCCTGTTCCAGCACCGGAGAGTAATAAAAGTGGTTGAGGGTGGCTAGAAAGTTTTTAATCTCTTTCATGTTCATGTGTCTGGATGGTGATACTGATTTTTCTAGTTTTCACAAGTGGATCTTAAAAGGTTCTACCAGTGGCCAGATTAGTGAGGCTTTTTAGAACTTATCTTTTTCTTCTCTCAACATGTGTACTTGCTCTGCAAATGAATGCTTTTCAAGCAGTTGCTATGGTATTCCTGTGATGGCATGGTTGAATGAGATTCAAAGTACTGCACCAATACTTTCAAAGGGAAGCTCAAAAACCAAATGAAAAGGCTGGGAAGAAATAATGTAATACTGTTTCTCAGTGTGCATGTTTCCATGATGAGGAGCATTGTATGCCAGGTATTAAAAATCATCTCTCTTTGGCAGATGATGGCTCTTATCCTGTAATGACTTACTCGGAGGAGGTGCTCTTGGTTTGTGCTTGTGAGATCTTCCCAAAATGCTTTTCATGTGAGCTGCCATCTGTCATTGGACAGTGATGACTTTGGCAGATGTGATGGTGGAAAATTTAGTCACTGACACTGAGGTGGAAGGTTCTAAATGTCACACTGATGGGTTTGTTTCACCCCCTTCGTGAATGTGTATAAACATATAGCACCATTTCTCTCTTATGTAACAAATAACGCTGTGTCTAGCTGCAGAGACAAGGTGGCTGTTTTCCTCAACTAGCTGACTTGTGCAATTGAACACAAAATTCACCCTGATCCTATTGTGGTAATACAACATCCCTGTCTGTACATTTAATCTATGTGCTTGGATGACCTTTTTTTTTCAGACACTAGCATATAATTTCCATGTCTTTTCCTTAAATTACTTCTCTAGTGCTTCTGTCATTAATTCCCATTTCAGTTTCCTCTCATCATTTTTTAATATATTTGTGATCTTTCTTGCAGCATCTATTTAAAGGAGTCCATTATCGGTGGGCATTTTTCACGCCAAGTGGCCCAAGTTTGGATGAAATAGCAGAACTAGTTGATTCTGGAAAGGTATGTCAGTAATGGTTATTTGGGTATTTGTGCTGAGAGAGGTGCTGCTTCAGCAGCCAAAACTAGTTAAGAAATGGCTTGCTTGAGCTTCTAACTAATGCCTTTTGTATGGAATTTAGGAGTTTGTAATCCTTAAGACTGTTCTGCCTTCTCCCTCTCCACCCTACCTGTTTTTGAAAAGACAAAGCTTACTAAGTTATGAGGAAATAATGTCCAGTGATTGTTTATTTTGCCAGTGGGAATCAACTCTGGTGTTGAAAATGATGTTTTAAGAGGCCTCATTTGGTCAGAATGAACATGACTGGTGTATCTGCATATGCAAAATTGCCTAGCCTGGATGATCAGGAGTCCTGCCCATAATGTGCACAGAACTAGAATGTTCAGGTCACGGATGATCTGTGTTGGCAGAGTGGTGAGAATCTTGTGTTTCATTATTTCAGTGCTTCAGAGTCTAATGTTTGTGCTAATTCAGCACAGTGACCTGGAATATTGTGAGCGTTGCTAAGTTTTTGGGGAATCTCTTAGTGGGCTGGGGGGAAAGGCATGAAGCGGCAGATAGATTTCTGCTTTTCTGATCTTTTCAGGTTTATGAGCTTGTTAACAAAATGGGTGTGAATGTGGGTGGTTGGTTGCCTGTTTATGGGACTGTGTGGTGCTGTAGGTCTTGGCAGTGTCCTCTTTTGGAGAATGTCATATTGCCAAGATTCCCAGAGTACAGAATATGGACAACTGCTGTTAATCTTGCTATGTGGTACCTAAGCAGAAGAGGAAGCAGAGTCTGCCATGAGGGCTGGCAATTCCAGTATGTGAACTGTCAGGCCATCTTGTGCTCAAAATTTGTGCATATTAGTAAAATTTAGTCTCTCAAAGTTTGAGTGTTGATCTCCCTTTTCGCTATGTGTTATGCTCCAGAGTTTGGAGAAGAGTAAATAAATTGCTGTCATACTTAAGGCCTGGTTGCTACTATTTGCCATCTCAGTGCTGCTGATCAGAATAAAAATCTTCCTGAATTCAGGCACTCTTATTCCTCTGTTGTGACCAGTGTCACAACTGCTGACAGCCAGTGGAAAGTCTGTTTCCTAAAAAGTTACCTGCTTATAAACAGAAGCTGCAGCAGCAAGTAAGCTGTGGTGAAGTATGTTCCTGGCTACAGCTTTACACCACTCTGCTTTGCATTGTGCCCGGTGCTGTAGGCATTATCTCATGGTTAAGGAGGAGGAAACGTTAGAAGATACTCCTCACCCTGTGATTGCATCCGGTCACACTACTAAATTATAATTGACTGAGGAACAGAAATGCCCTTGCCTTCATTCTTACCGTTTGTCCTGGTGCTAAACCAGTCACAGCTTGTTTTGTGTTCTGCTCTTACCTTGTATGCAAAACAAATGCAGAATATGCCCATGAAAGCCCCTTGGGAAACACCTGTGTATGCCATAGAGATAGGGCTTAATCCGTGTTCTCTGCCTAATCATCTGGACAGGTGAATTGTAATGCCATTTAAAACGTAGGTCATACGTATATGAATGTCCTGATGTGCTTTTTGTTATAAGATGATCATGAGGACGAAGATGTTTGCTTGGTCTTTTATTCTGTGTCTGCAAAAACAGGTCATAATGTCAGACTGTTTATCTGCATAGTCATTATTCTAGCAGTATTTTACTCTCTATTTTGTAAAATGCTGTAAACACCATGCTGTCGTCAGTATTTTATAAGACACAGATGTGTTCCATTTAGACATGTCAGTGAGAATAAGACTGACCTTTATTGTCTAGACACAAGAGTTCTCTTAAATGGACAGATCATCCATTCAGAAAGTAGGTATTTGGAAAAGAGGCAGGAGAGAATTACTGGAGGAAGTGTATCATAATTTCCCATAACTAAATGAAAATAAATGTTTGTGTTTGAATAGGAGTATAATAAATGAAAAATAAAAAATAAAAAAAACAACAAACACTGCCACAAACCAATTTAAGTAGCAAGAAGTCTTGGGGAAGCCAGCAAAATGAGCTCATGTAGTTGAACTTCTTAGTTTTGAGTGAATACAGTTTTGAGTAACGCAGATTTAGTTATTTTGAAATTTCAGTGAATCATCTTTTCTGTTACAGACATCTTAATTTTGAGATTGTATGAAGTGGGAATAGGAGAGCAATTGGAGGCCTCCTGAAAATAAGAGACCTTTTTCAGGAAAGTATAAATAGTGAGAGGGGATTTAAATGAAGGATATTAAAAAGCGTTTATGGTGTTATGGAATCATAGAATGATTTGTGTTTGAAGGGACCTTCAAGATCATCTAGTTCCAACCCCCCTGCCATGGGCAGGGAAATCCTCCACTACACCAGGTTGCTCAAAGTGCCATCCAACCTGGCCTGGAACACTTCCAGGGATGGGGCATGTTGCTGACAGAAATGTTAAACAGCACCAGTCACAGTACCGACCCCTGAGGAACACCACTCGTCACTGGTCTCCACTTGGACATTGACCGATTGACCACAACTCTTTGAGTGCAACCATCTAGCCAATTCCTTATCCACCGAGTGGTCCATCCATCAAATCCATGTCTCTCCAATTTATAGACAAGGATGTCATGCGGGACAATGTCAAATGCTTTGGAAAAGTCCAGGAAGATGACATCAGTTGCTCTTCCCTTATCCACTAATGCTGTAACCCTATCATAGAAGGCCACCAAATTAGTCAGGCAGGATTTGCCCTTAGTGAAGCCATGTTGACTGTCACCAATCACCTCCTTTTTTTCCATGTGCCTTAGCATAGTCGCCAGGAGGATCTGCTCCATGATCTTGCTGGGCACAGAGGTGAGACTGACTGGCCTGTTAGTTCCCTGGGTCTTCATTTAAAGAGATGATGTTATAGGATGTGAAACTTTGAAGAGCATACCCCAAAGCAGTTACAGATCATACTGGTTTGTCAGTGGTTTTTCTTTTAGTCCTTCTGCACCAGCACAGACTTTTAGTTGTGATGAGTTCCTCATCTTCCTTTGCGAAAGTAAAAGGATTCTCAATCCTTCAGTGGATGAAGAATAAGGAGAAAAGTCATTTTGTTTAAAGATACTTGGTTTTCACACGGATGATCTTTGCAGCAAGTAATAGAGATTTGCAAAACGTCAGCCGTTCTTTTAACAGCCTTTTTTAATGAGGAAGGAGAAGGAGAGGATTTGATGAGCTGGTAGTGCAAGGAAGGAGAATCATTTTCCTTTTGTAATTCACCTGCACATCAACTGAGTTCTGGGGATTGTAAAACCATTTTCAGTTTATGAGCTGTTTTCTCTGCCTTGCAGCCAAACATCTTGCAGAGAGAATATTGCCAGTCTGAGGGGCTGGGAGGCTGCTGCGACAGTAGCGGGCACTGAGAAATTCAAGTATTTCCTTGTCAAATTTTAGAGATACTTGCTACTTTCTAAACTGCTGGCAAATCCCCGTTGTGGGTTGGACTCTGCCAGTTAATGAAAGCCACTGAGGATTGCCTTAACGTGGGCTCTACCAAATCAGTCATTGAAGCGCATGGCTGAAGCTGGGGATCTCACATTCCTGGTGCCTTACAAAGTTCCCATCTGAAGACAGCTGAAATCAACGGAGCCTGTAGTTCAGGGGACAGATTAGCTGGCGCAGTGTTTGCTGAAGCGTCGTCACTGGTCTCTGCTGCCAACATTGTCGCTGAAAGGCTCGTTAGGAATTGGTTTGATGTATTTGTGGTCAGTGGTGTGGATTTAACATTGGCAGTCTTGGGTTTTGCTGCTCGCTTAACTTTTTGCACCTTTCTAAGGATGTGCCGTTTAGTCTGTGGTGAAAATATTCCAAACTCATCTAACTACAGAAGTTTGTGGAAAGCCTCTAGCTTGTAATTCAGCACATTGCCTTTTATAAAGCCTGATGGAGGAGGGCAGGTGCAAAAGATTCCTTAGTGTTGTAAGGGGGAATGCAAAGTATGTTATGTTCCTGCTGGACCATGATCGGATGTGGGTTAACGTGCAGCCCTACAGAAATCTGAAATTTTCATTTCAATTCGGTGCTATTTAAATGCACTGCAGGTGTGTCTGTGCAGTATTTCTGGTGGCTTAATACTCTTCCCTTCAGAGTTGTGTCGGATGGCTAATAGTTGATTTTGGAGAAGGAAGGCTAAAGGACAAGTAGAGTCTCCGACCATTAAATGAATAGATATTTTCTGTGGCGTTTCTTGTCTAGATAAATGTTACAGCACGGGCACACGTAAGAAAAACAATTGCCTGCTTATATTAATGTAATTTGTGTGTAGTGTCGATTATACATTTTGCTGAAGACACTAGATGCTTTGGACTTGGCACGCCCTGTCGTGGTTTGGAGGACAGGAGGCTGATTGTTCTTTGGCCTTGCTGCTCTCTTCCTGTGCAATACCATACAAATCACATAACCTTTTGCTACTGTAATTTCTCTACCTGCTAATGAGGGCTCATGCCCTTTGTCCACCTTTGGTGATTTGCTCTGAGATACCCTGTTAAAATGTGGAATTCAATTGTTTTCTGTTGCTACCCTTTGCCATTCAGGAAGTGTTTGGTCATCCACTTTGACATTACTTGGGTTTTGAGTTGTTTGGATGGCCGTGATTTAAGTCAGATGGCTTACATCCTTCCTGCTAGCATAGGTTATCACAGCCTCTTGACTGTCTGTCCTAACGCGGGTGTATTGATTTGCTTCCAATTCGTCTTGTTACAGTTGTGCAGGTAACTTTTTCCCTGGCCCTTGTTGCACAATTGTTGCAGATTTCTCCGGTCTGTATGAATATCAAACAGCTAATGTAACATACTGAGTCCTTGAACGTTCTCCAAATCTGGCATCTCTAGATGTGGCCTTCTCTGCAGTAATTCCAGTCTTTATGTTTATGGCTGTGCTAAGATATCTTGAGGTGACTCGCCCTTGGGTGGTGTCTGCTTTACTCTCCTTATCTGAAAAAGGACACTAGGGTAGCAACTCTGTACTAAATGTCTAAATTGACTAGAGATCAGCCCTTCTCCCTGCTCTTTAGTCACTCACACTCATAGGATCATAGAATGGTTAGGGCTGGAA